CTAAAGTCACAGACGGGTAGTATAAGGTTTGCCCCCCCAAAAAAAATTATTAGATTTTCCTTAAAAGACAAAGGTATCTTCCTAAATGGTGTGAGTCATCATAGCACCTGATTTGCCCTGGAACACTCTACATTGATTACTAATCCCTTCTTCCATCTAAGGCAGCGGGTCCGAACCTGCCGGTCATGACCCTTTTTGGGTTGACCCTTTCACACAGGTTACCTACGACCATAGAGTAACACATTTACATTGAAGTTATGGTGGAAAATAATTGTTTGGGTGTCGCCACAACATGGGGCAACTTTATTAAAGGGTTGCAGCATTAGGAATGTTGAGAGCCACTGCTCTAAGGAAACAGTTGAACCTTGATACTTAAATTCACTTGCTGGTTTTATCTATGTGGCATTTTACTTTTACTTGATATAGTTTCTGGTTGTCTGCCTGTCACTATTGTCTCTGTCTTTTTAATGCTTTATTTTATATTATTTTTCTCGCACTTGGTATTGGCTTGAGACGGTTTTGGACTCTTTTGTTGTTGTTGTTGTTGCTGTTGCTGCTATTAATACAAACTTTATTTTTTTTAAATGACCCAGATCGACCCAGCCTTGAGTGGGACCAGGCATAGTCCTGGGATGGGAAGTAAAGGCGGCCCGCATGATGCTGACCACATACACACCAAGTGCCGGTTGGTCTATAAGATATAGGTCTAGGCGATTCAATGAAGAAAATAATGATACACATTGGCAAAGCATCAACGCTCTTTAAAAGCCTTAAAACAATATGAAGCTCCAAGTTATACAGGTTAGGACCAAACTAGCACTCTTTAATTCCATGCTTTTTCAATTCCAGGTTTAGGTTTAGACGACGGATCAACATCATGGCACAAGGTAGAAACTCATAAGTGCTCCGCTCTATTTCTGTCTCAAGCCTGAGTCCGAGAAATCTCAGCGCAGTGCACAAGCTCCATAGCACCGCCATAGATCCTGAAATACTTTGGGTAGATTTTCAACACTTAATGTTGCCCGGGCAGCGCCGTTAGGCTACTCTTTTTGATTTCCAAATGGCAAGGGATTTTTTATGTGCGCAACAATACACATGGGCGTCCAATCTCACTACCCAGAGACCAGGGAAAATTACTAGAAGTCCACGTGAAAAAATCCCAGCCTTCACCGGAGCTTGAACCCAGGACCTCAAACACTCAAGGCAGACAACACAACTCAAGACCACGCAGCCCTCTATTTCAATTTGAACACATGCCAGCGAAGTTGGGGACCACTAAAGATATGGAAAAAAGTTATATACATTTCAAAATAAATATCTGAAAAAATAATGAACATAAGATGGGATGAATTAAAAAAAGAGAGAGGAGATTTAGAAATGCATGAACAACTACCTGTATCGACTGCAATAAAACAAAAGTGGAGGTATATTGGGCACACTCTGAACCTAAATGAGCAAAGAATTATAACAAGAACTGAAATGGGAAACAAACGGTCTGAGAAAAAGAGGATGTTCAAGGGAAACCATGAAACATTAAGAAGAACATAATTACGACAGGCTAAAACGTAAAGGTCAAGTCGGGAGATGTGAACCAGCGTCATTGCACACGGTTATAAACCATAAGTGCTCTGCTACCAGTACGACAGTTGGCTGCAGAGAGTCGCAGCTGGATTTGAAAATGAGCCTCTTATCAACTGCGCTAATGCAGCAGACTAAAAATGCTGGGCTGAACTCAAGAAAGCTGCCTGCATGCAACAGAGTTTAGTGAGGGAATGGAATGCAAGTGTTGTCTGACATCTAACGCTACACAAAGGATGATGATCTACGAATAATAATTCTAAAATATCCTATTCTTTGCTTTCTGCATATCAAAAATTAAGAAGACAACACAAAATACGAAACCACTCACCGTGTGAAACTTCAAGGTCATCCAGCTCATCCTCCAAGCAGTGTGTCAGGTGAATAATTTCGGTGACCCTCAAACGGTTGCGGTCAATCTCCTCGGCCTGATGAATGGTCTCCATCAGGTTTTTTACCCATGACCGGATACCGGTTGAAATATAATCTTCCTTATTGTCTATCTTCAGCATGTGATTATCATGAGATGTAGTGACAGCAGACATCACAGTATCTTTGTCAACAAGCAGCTGTTTATAAGAATTAAAAGCAGAGCGTTTAATAAAATGTAAACAATAGTACCTCAGCTTCTTCTCCTCCTCTTCTTCTTCTTCCTCTTCTTCCTCCTCCTCTTCTTCTTCTTCCTCTTCTTCCTCCTCCTCTTCTTCTTCTTCTACTACTACAGCATTCTGAGCCCTTGAGGTTGACTGCTGCAGATAACACCCACCTCCACTCCTGTCTCTGGCTGACCTTCTCTTTCCAGTTGGTGATACCAAGTGTTTGTATGTCTATCTTGATATAATCTCTTTGTGTGAATCATACATCAGCTAATATAGTTAACTTGTTTCATGACTGCATTTGTTTAGCATAACCTTCGTTAGCCAAAAAGTGATTTCCCATAGTAAATTCAGCTAACAACATGGTAACGTTATGTTAGCGCACACATCCACTTATTCATTAACAAATCAAAATTCTTTAGCAGGGGCTGAAAAACTATTTAAAAAAAATATCTTTATTAACGTAAAAGTTTGTTAGCCACGGTATCACAGTATACCATACAAACAAATATGAAACTGTCAATAAAAGGTTTATATTATATACAGTCAAGTAGAGCTGGGTATAAAAGGTATATATTACATAGTCAAGTAGAGCTGTAAATAAAAGGTATATATTACATAGTCAAGTAGAGCTGTCAATTAAAGGTATATATTACATAGTCAAGTAGAGCTGTCAATTAAAGGTATATATTACATAGTCAAGTAGAGCTGTCAATTAAAGGTATATATTACATAGTCAAGTAGAGCTGTTAATAAAAGTTATATATTATGTAGTCAAGTAGAGCTATGAATAAAAGTTATATTTAGTAGTCGAGTAGAGCTGTTAAAAAAAGGTTTATATATAATATAAACTTAAACAGGCATGTTTGTGATATTGTGGCTGTCTGGCTCAATCTGGACTGATCTCGACTCTACACTTCTCTCCGTTAGGATGTCAAGTATGGACACACAGAGGTATAGTCAAAACACGACGATGACGGTACAATTTATTGTAGTATATCAAATGAGCCATTCAGTCCTAGTCCTAGGTTCTCCCTGGTCGTTTACAACTCCCGCACGACTGACTGCCACGATTAGACTATAGATGTAGTTACTTTTTACTCTGAATGTTTCATTCAGACGGGATCTTGCATCAGGATCACACTACCACAAATGTACACAGTGGCTAGAATCAATTCTATGCAGACATTCCCTGGCAGTCCAGGTCCTTGCTCTCTCAGTTAACAATCAAAATTCACCTCATTCACTCTATTCAGGCAACCTGTCTCTTGCACTATCAAACACCAACTGATTCTATCTCCTTTCTCACCTTTAACCCTTTCTTCCCGTCCCATAGTTTTTATTAGCAATCGTTCATCCAAAAATAGGAAAATCGCACGCATCTATTTCTCTTGTTCAACTGCTCCTTGACCCTAACTCTTTATATAGGCAACCCCTTTGGAATTCCCGGGGATTCCCCATTCTTATAATGTTAATAAAATGCAAACGTAGCAAAGCTGTTAATAAAAGGTATATATTACATAGTCAAGTAGAGCTGTTAATAAAATGTTTATATATAATATAAACTTTAGCAGGCATGTTAATAAAATGCATACGTCATACAAACATAGCAGAGCTGTTAATAAAAGATATATATATCAGATAAACTCAAGTAGAGCTTTTAATAAAAGGTACCATATCAACTCAAGCAGGGCTGTTAATAAGGTGTATACCATTTAAACTCAAGCAGGGCTGTTAATAAGGTGTGTACCATTTAAACTCAAGCTGGGCTGTTAATAATATTTATACCGTGTTTCCCTAAGTATAAAACTTTATGTAATCATATTATTTTTTCTCTCAAAATATCCAGTCCTGGAATTAAGGCGCGTCTTATACATAGGATCGTTGTATACTTAGGGAAATACAATATGTCACATAAGCATTCTTTTTTCAGTAACTTGCGCAAGTGACCACTTATTCCCAAAGTCTTAGGAGATGCAAAGATTAACAACACTAGGCACCACCAGGCATTTAGTGACAGGTGACAAAGGTTAGGGCTTTCAATAGGTTTCCTCATTCCACTTTAAAAAAAAAAAGTTAGGTAACTAATTTTCAGCAAATCTAAAAAGAAAAAAAAAAATCAGCCAATCTAGACGAGAGGGAGTTGACTCCTAAAAGAATTATAAAGCAGTTTGGAGAAGCTGAAATAGAGACTAAAAAACACACTGACAAGAGAATCGAGGAATCTTGTGAGCAAGATGGTGAGCTATATGTGATGTCTTAGAGCTAGCTGGCTAAAGACTTATGCTCACTGCAAGCCATGGTATCATTCAAATGCTCACCTGCAGCACACTCATATCATAGGAGGGAACTAATTAGGGTGTTTCCTACAAAGTTGGAGTGCATCTGTGAGGAACCAACAGCTCGCACAAGTCAGATCTGTAAAAATGGGCATGCCTATACAAAACTCAAGTTGTGGATCAATGATCAAAGTCCAGGAGTTGATGAAAAAACCAAACTTTCCACCGGAGACTACCACTCCAACACAAAATGCAATTTTGTTGTCGGTTTAAAGCCCCATCCCGCTCTGGTTGGTGGCCCTAAATTAACCTAACGACTGAACAGGGTTTCTATGACTTGTCCATGGGTGGCCCTCATCCCATTGGTGGCACTTCATGTCCCCCAGCGTTTATCGCTTGGTATGATGTCCTGGGGAGGTTAAACATCAGTCATCGGAGTTTACAGCGGGCTGACACAAACAAGAAAAATCCACACTGATGAAGATTTTTTAAAACTGAACTATGTCCAAAGTGCTACAGGCGTGTAAAGGGTCGTTTACGTACTCACAATTTTCAGTTCTTCTGTTACATCTTCGTCTAGTTCGTTCTTTGCTGCCTTGTCAAGGGCAAGAGAAGCACATTCTGTCATTTTCTCATTGAGTGAGTTTTCAGTCTCCCTCATCTCTGTCAGGCAGGAGTGCATGGTTTCCAGAAAGTTGCCCACAAGTTCCAGCATGCTGCGCTCAAAGTCTTTGATGACTTCCTGATGGCAGTTAAAGTGCTTGGTGAATGCACAAGTTGATTTCATGCAAAATAACTTATTTTGTAAGAAATAAACTAGGTACAAAGGGCAGAAGGGAGAGGCAGAGAATGAGAAAGAGAAGAGATCATGTGCGTGTAAGTGATAGAGCGAATGACTGTATGTGCAAAAGAGCAAGAGTTAAGAGTTAGAGAGGGAGATGATTGTGTGTATCTGATAGTTACAGAGAAAGAAGAGTAAATGACAATGAGAACAAAAATGAATAAAAGAACCTTAATTATTTTTTTAGAGTCACAAATTGGGCACCCTGGCCTGTCTCATATTCCACCCTTTCAAACACTCATCTTTCACACTCCCACTGTATTATGAAAAAAAAAAAAATCAGTATAAGGTAAAAACACAAAGGCATGTATGGCAAATGTATACACTTTACATACATGCAAGGAACGGTTTTACAAATGGCCCAATCTTCCACCCATTAAGAATGTCTTCTTATTATTTGTCAGCTGTAAACTCTGGAAGGCAGATCTCCCTGTTCGTCCACTTCTGGACTTTGGTCTTGTTTCAGAACTTGAGTGTTGCATACACACCCACATGATAGATCTGGCTTGTTTATTGCTGTGTGTACATGTGTATCTGTGTGTATGTATGCAGTTGTGTGGAATGTGCGTGTATGTGTGGGTAGTTAGGTATGTATGTGGGTGAATGGGGGTGTGTTTTTGCGTGTGTGTGTGTGAAGGTATGTGGGTGTGTATATATGCGTGTTCAAGTGAGTGTGTGTGTGTGCATTTGTGTGTGTGTGCGCTAGTGTGTGCATGCATTTTACCACTCATGCTTTTGTGTATTATGATATGAATTTAACATGCTTATTGATAAAATACAACTGCAGTGTGAAAGACAGGTGTTTGGAAGGGCAGAATGTAAGACAGGACTGCGTGCCTAATTTGTGACCTTTGAAAATAGTTTGTTCGTTTGTTTCTTTCTTCACCTCTCAGGCAGATGCACTCCAACTCTGGAGAAAACATCTCTAGTTGACCACCTTTACGACATGTTTGTAAGGGAGGCAACTGGTCTATTCTTTCTTTTTCCCTCCCTAAATGTTTGAACAAAGTTCATTTTGTGAATGGTGTTCAAACATTTAGGGAGGGAAAAAGAAATCAGGGGGAAAAAAATAGAGCCCCGAAAACCACAAAGGAAGCTACCAATTTAAGAATGTACAGCCATTGGTCCATCAAATAGAATAAGGTAATTGCAGATCCAAAATCAATAGCAAACGGGTTACCCCATCGTTGCTTCACTCCAGTGCTAATGAAAACAACATAGAATGCCTATCACTGCCCCTTGTAAAAAAACAATCACATAGACTAAAGTCTTAGCAAATGCAACAACATTTACACATTAAATACGTAAGACAGCAGTCAGATGTGCCAGTACGAACAGTCCAACACTGGAAATGCAGTTCATCATGGATGGAAGCAGGAGTTGCAACAGACTAGTAATGGCAAATGCAATTAATCGTATAATACCCTACGAGTGCTCTTGCCATTGTCAGAATCTGTAGTCTACAACACAAACAACATCGGGCACAGTAAAAAAAGAAAAGAAAAAAGAAATAGTCTAAATAAAATCCACAGCTCACAGTGTCACAGGGCAATATAGTTATATTCTTTTAGTCTATATCTAGAGGAAAACACAACAGCTAACTATTGTCAGCAGCAAAAACTTGCTATGATTGAAGCAGTAAATTGCCTATTCACTATATTGACCAAAAGAATACCTCAAGCTGGTCCACCAGCTGCAACTCCAGAGTCATGAGTTTGTCAGACAGATCTGTAATGTTAATGTAGAAGTCTTTGAGTTTCTTGTCCATCAGCTTTGCATCAGTCAGGGCTTGCAATCCAACAAATAGCTAGGGAGACAAATGAAATATTTCAACCACATCAAAGAACCAATGCTCTTTTAAAAACCATCTTCTTCTTCTGCTTCTTATAGTCTACTCAGTATGAAATTGGTAATAATATCTCTCCACAATCTTCTGTTCCGTCTACTTTTAATCAGTTCTGATGATCTTCCATGCCATGAGGTCAAACTCTCCAACATCATCTCTCTCTGTGTCTCCCTCTGCTTCTTTTCTCCTCAAGCCACTGGCTTGATATTCTCGAGCTTACTCTTTCTCATGACATGACCACAAAATGTAAATTGTCTCCTTCTGATGCGGGTAATAATTTCTCTTTATGTTAAAAACCACACAGAGGGGAAAAGTTCAGGGCAAAAAGTAGACAATGATATAAGTAGGAAAACAACCATAAGAAATTGACAAAAAAATTTTAATTTGATAAACTTTTTGTGTTCAGTCTGACAATTGGTAGGGAGACAAAAAATATATTTTGGCCACATGAAAGATCTAACACTCTTTTAAAAACTTTCTTTGTCTTCCTCATTGTCCATGCAGTGTGGCATTTGTAGTCATATATATCCACCACCTTTCCCCTGTGTGCTTTCAGTAACTCCTGACACAAATGATCTTCCCTGTCATGATTTCAAACTGCCTAGTATCTCCTGCCTCAGTCTCTCTCTGTACCTCTCTCATCTCGCCTCATAATTTCCCACCATCACAAATAGTACTCTAGTTTTCTCCTTATCATGACATAACCAAAGAATGTAATCTCTCCTACTGATGGGGTCAATATGTTCTCTTCGGGTTAAATACCGCACAGGAGGAAAACATTGAAGACAAGACAACAAGAGGTACACAATTATAAAAGTGGGATGATGACATCAAGATACTGACGAATGATTCAAAAGTTTACAAATTCAATGTGTTCTGTTTGAAAATAGCTAGCGAGACAACTGAAATATTTTGGTCACATCAAAAAACATAAAAACATTCTTTTACCTCCATCTTTCTACCAGAAATGCTAGTGTTGTTGGTAATAAAAAATCCGACTGATTAGCTGGCTCTTCCTTAATTTCGGAGGGCCAGCCCATCGATCATGCCGATATTGTTAATGCCATTAGAGAGGTAGGACGTTGGGAAAATTTTGGCAGCAGCACTTCCACATCTGTGTTAAGATGTACACCAGACGCATGAGAAGTCTTGTCAACCAACACAGGACCGGGACTACCAACTGCGGGATGCTGATGTTTATGCTGAAGGGGGAATCTGAGCACCTATGGACATTGTCCGGGGTGCCGCAAAGGTAACCCAAATCGTAACTCATAACTCTTTTAAAAACCATACTGGAGGGAAAATTTGAAGCCAAGAAAGCAAGAGACTGACAATGATACAAGTGGGAGAAAAAAAACCATTAAGAGATGGACATACCAAGAGTGTAATACCAAGATAAGAGACAAAGTGTGATGAAGATGAATTGTGGGAAACCTTCAATGTTGAGATTGCACCTGGTTGATTGATTGAAATGGCTAGGTCAAAAATAAGATACAGACTCTGTACATATTGTGTTTTAGTCTAGAGATGAACAAGTATATCAAATTTAGAATCACAGTAGTGGCATAATGGCTATAACTAACCTGCCTGCCCAAAGGGCTTGAAATTAGTTCTGCAAATCCCATATCTATAACCAATCTAAGACTCACGGAACAGCTGGAACATAATGAACTTTGTTCAAATATTTAGGGAGGGAAAAAGAAAGAATAGACCAGTTGCCTCCCTTACAAAAATGTCGTAAAAGTGGTCAACTAGAGATATTTTCTCCAGAGTTGGAGTGCATCTGAGGTGAAGAACCAACGGACTAACAAACTTTATTTTGAAAGGGTCACAAATTAGGCATGCAGCCTGTCTTACATCGGTGTAGTGGGTAGTGACTAAATGTTCAACTGTGCATCTGATAGCCATGGGTTCTAATCCGAATGGACCCAGACTTTTTTTCCTTCAGAAATGGCATGCAGGTCAACCCAGCCTTAAATGGGTTCCTGAGGTCAACCCAGCCTTAAATGGGTTCCTGAGGTCAACCCAGCCTTAAATGGGTTCCTGAGGTCAACCCAGCCTTAAATGGGTTAATGGGGTCAACCCAGCCTTAAATGGGTTCCTGAGGTCAACCCAGCCTTAAATGGGTTCCTGAGGTCAACCAAGCCTTAAATGGGTTCCTGTTAAAGTCCAGGTAAGAAAAATGGCTGACAGGGTGTTAACCACATTCCCTACTGAGTGCCGATGGTCTATAAAATATAGGGCACTACATGCATAATATATCTGAAGGTGTGCAACAAAGACCCTTTAAGATTCCCAGTTTAACTCAGTAAAAATGGGTACCAGGAAATGTCAAGGAAAGTAAAGGCAATTAGCAAGAAGTTGATAACATCATCCATCAAGTGTTGACTGGATATTTTTTGGTGGCTGTAATTGCAGATGGTCATAAGTCACGTAGGTTATAAGTCAAAAAGATAGTGTAGATAATATTGAAATGATTGCACAGGACAGAAGGAGATAGTGTAGTTAATATTGAAATGATTGCACCGGACAGAAGGAGATAGTGTAGATAATATTGAAATGATTGCACCGGATAGAAGGAAATAGAGGAATAGATTGTGAGCTTTTTTTTTGATGTTTCAATGGCACAGCAAGATGATGATAAATGCTCAAACGGTTGGAAAGCTTACTTTTTGTTTCTCCTTTGAATATTCATAGATGGCATCCATTGCCATTTGTTTATTTTCAGCTTTGGCCTCATTGACACAATCCCAGAACATCTGCTCTTCCTCTTTCCTTTTTTCACGTTCTTCCAAGCCAAACTCAAATAACCTATTGCACACTTCCAATAATTTCTCCTTGAATGTTTTTTTTTGTTCAGGAAATTTCATACATAGTATATTTGTTACAAAGTCCTATGGGTTTTTTTTTCCTGTGGTTCTAGACCAGGTTTTTCTTTCTGTAGTATTCAACAGTACAGAAAATTTCATATGTAGTATATTTATAACAGAGACCCATGACCAGATTTTTTCCTTTCTGCAGTTTGCAACAGAACAAGCAATGTTATACATAGTATATTTATAACCAAGTCCTATGACCTGGTTTTGTTGTTGTTATATGCAACAGTACATGAAATTTCATACATAGTATATTTATAACAAAGTCCTATGACCATTTTTTTCCTTTCTGTGGTATGCAACAGTACAGGAAATTTCATACATAGTATATTTATAACAAAGTCCTATGAACCAGGTTTTTGTTTTTTTCTGTAGTATGCAACAGTACATTAATCTTTTCAGAAAATGTGACTCAGAAATACTGCTTGAAATAATTAGAATCAAAAGACGCATGTTAAAAACAGAGGAAGAAAAAATATACCACCCAAAAACAAAACAAAAAACAAAAATTTGAATAATTTATCAAAACTTAACACTTGTAAAAAAAAAGGCATTAATATAATATCAGTAACAATAATAATAACAAAAATAATTCAGTATGGTGTCAACCATTTGTCAACCAGTTGGAGAAGTAGTGAGCTTTAACCATATAAGAGCAATAGCACCAGAAGGACAAGCATAAAAAAACCATTACAGATAACATAAGACAATATAAAGTGATTTAAACATGACAACACACTTATGAAAACATTTTTTTTACTGAAGTTTACACTGATTTAAAAGATCTTCATGAAAAGCAACAAAACAAATCTTCTTCTTCTTCTGTTGGCATAATGTGTTATTGTTGATAAGCTAGGCTGAGATATATGCACATCAAATTTTAGCGAAGCCTTAAATAGTCACCTCTACAACATGCTTTTTAAGGAGCAATGGGTCTATCCAGCACACCCTTTTTCCTCAAAATTGAGCCCCAGAAGCCACACAGAGAAACAAAGCAAATAAAAAGGATATTGTGCTACAATTTCATCAGCCCCAGGCATCTCATTCAGTTTCTGTCCATCAAGATCGTCAGCGTACATCTCTAAAAAGAGCCTGTCTGTATTTAAATATTCCACAAATGCTTCCTGAAAAAAAAACAAAAAAACTGCAAAATAGAATAAGACAATCATCATCACTGTAAAAAAAAAAAAAATCTTACTGTCAAGTTTTGCCATCACACACGATCATCAGAATCTCAGATCAAGTCAGTGTTCTTGTCTTGCTCCCATTCACATGGCTAAGCAATCGAAATATTTATCCGTTTGCCTTCCTCTTGCTCTTTTTCCTTCAATATTGCCAGACATGACCAGGTCCTCCAGCAGAATTAGATCAACTTCTACCAAATACACCCAATAGCCACACCTTCTTTCTATAGTCCGTGCCATGTGGCATTGGTAGTCATGTCTATCCACAACCTTCTGTCTCATGTACTTTCAATCAGTTCTGACACTGATCATCTTCCATGTCATGTGGCATTGGTAGTCATGTCTATCCACAACCTTCTGTCTCATGTACTTTCAATCAGTTCTGACACTGATCATCTTCCATGTCATGTGGCATTGGTAGTCATGTCTATCCACAACCTTCTGTCTCATGTACTTTCAATCAGTTCTGACACTGATCATCTTCCATGCCATGTGGCATTGGTAGTCATGTCTATCCACAACCTTCTGTCTCATGTACTTTCAATCAGTTCTGACACTGATCATCTTCCATGTCATGTGGCATTGGTAGTCATGTCTATCCACAACCTTCTGTCTCATGTACTTTCAATCAGTTCTGACACTGATCATCTTCCATGTCATGTGGCATTGGTAGTCATGTCTATCCACAACCTTCTGTCTCATGTACTTTCAATCAGTTCTGACACTGATCATCTTCCATGCCATGTGGCATTGGTAGTCATGTCTATCCACAACCTTCTGTCTCATGTACTTTCAATCAGTTCTGACACTGATCATCTTCCATGTCATGTGGCATTGGTAGTCATGTCTATCCACAACCTTCTGTCTCATGTACTTTTAATCAGTTCTGACACTGATCATCTTCCATGTCATGTGGCATTGGTAGTCATGTCTATCCACAACCTTCTGTCTCATGTACTTTCAATCAGTTCTGACACTGATCATCTTCCATGCCATGTGGCATTGGTAGTCATGTCTATCCACAACCTTCTGTCTCATGTACTTTCAATCAGTTCTGACACTGATCATCTTCCATGTCATGTGGCATTGGTAGTCATGTCTATCCACAACCTTCTGTCTCATGTACTTTCAATCAGTTCTGACACTGATCATCTTCCATGCCATGTGGCATTGGTAGTCATGTCTATCCACAACCTTCTGTCTCATGTACTTTCAATCAGTTCTGACACTGATCATCTTCCATGTCATGTGGCATTGGTAGTCATGTCTATCCACAACCTTCTGTCTCATGTACTTTCAATCAGTTCTGACACTGATCATCTTCCATGCCATGTGGCATTGGTAGTCATGTCTATCCACAACCTTCTGTCTCATGTACTTTCAATCAGTTCTGACACTGATCATCTTCCATGTCATGTGGCATTGGTAGTCATGTCTATCCACAACCTTCTGTCTCATGTACTTTCAATCAGTTCTGACACTGATCATCTTCCATGTCATGTGGCATTGGTAGTCATGTCTATCCACAACCTTCTGTCTCATGTACTTTCAATCAGTTCTGACACTGATCATCTTCCATGTCATGTGGCATTGGTAGTCATGTCTATCCACAACCTTCTGTCTCATGTACTTTCAATCAGTTCTGACACTGATCATCTTCCATGTCATGTGGCATTGGTAGTCATGTCTATCCACAACCTTCTGTCTCATGTACTTTCAATCAGTTCTGACACTGATCATCTTCCATGTCATGTGGCATTGGTAGTCATGTCTATCCACAACCTTCTGTCTCATGTACTTTCAATCAGTTCTGACACTGATCATCTTCCATGTCATGTGGCATTGGTAGTCATGTCTATCCACAACCTTCTGTCTCATGTACTTTCAATCAGTTCTGACACTGATCATCTTCCATGTCTTGTGGCATTGGTAGTCATGTCTATCCACAACCTTCTGTCTCATGTACTTTCAATCAGTTCTGACACTGATCATCTTCCATGTCATGTGGCATTGGTAGTCATGTCTATCCACAAGCTTCTGTCTCATGTACTTTCAATCAGTTTCTGACACTGATCATCTTCCATGTCATGTGGCATTGGTAGTCATGTCTATCCACAACCTTCTGTCTCATGTACTTTCAATCAGTTCTGACACTGATCATCTTCCATGTCATGTGGCATTGGTAGTCATGTCTATCCACAACCTTCTGTCTCATGTACTTTCAATCAGTTCTGACACTGATCATCTTCCATGTCATGTGGCATTGGTAGTCATGTCTATCCACAACCTTCTGTCTCATGTACTTTCAATCAGTTCTGACACTGATCATCTTCCATGTCATGTGGCATTGGTAGTCATGTCTATCCACAACCTTCTGTCTCATGTACTTTCAATCAGTTCTGACACTGATCATCTTCCATGTCATGTGGCATTGGTAGTCATGTCTATCCACAACCTTCTGTCTCATGTACTTTCAATCAGTTCTGACACTGATCATCTTCCATGTCATGTGGCATTGGTAGTCATGTCTATCCACAACCTTCTGTCTCATGTACTTTTAATCAGTTCTGACACTGATCATTTTCCATGTCATGTGGCATTGGTAGTCATGTCTATCCACAAGCTTCTGTCTCATGTACTTTTAATCAGTTCTGACACTGATCATCTTCCATGTCATGTGGCATTGGTAGTCATGTCTATCCACAACCTTCTGTCTCATGTACTTTTAATCAGTTCTGACACTGATCATCTTCCATGTCATGTGGCATTGGTAGTCATGTCTATCCACAACCTTCTGTCTCATGTACTTTCAATCAGTTCTGACACTGATCATCTTTCATGTCATGTGGCATTGGTAGTCATGTCTATCCACAACCTTCTGTCTCATGTACTTTCAATCAATTCTGACACTGATCATCTTCCATGTCATGTGGCATTGGTAGTCATGTCTATCCACAACCTTCTGTCTCATGTACTTTTAATCAGTTCTGACACTGATCATCTTCCATGTCATGTGGCATTGGTAGTCATGTCTATCCACAAGCTTCTGTCTCATGTACTTTTAATCAGTTCTGACACTGATCATCTTCCATGTCATGTGACATTGGTAGTCATGTCTATCCACAACCTTCTGTCTCATGTACTTTCAATCAGTTCTGACACTGATCATCTTCCATGTCATGTGGCATTGGTAGTCATGTCTATCCACAACCTTCTGTCTCATGTACTTTTAATCAGTTCTGACACTGATCATCTTCCATGCCATGTGGCATTAGTAGTCATGTCTATCCACAACCTTCTGTCTCATGTACTTTTAATCAGTTCTGACACTGATCATCTTCCATGCCATGATGTCAAACTGTCCATCATTTTCTGTCGCGGTCTCCGTCCGTCTCCTTTCCCCTCCAACCTTCCCACCGTCACTACGTACTCTAGTTTGATCCTTCACGTTACATGATCAAAGAATGTCAATTGTCTCCATCTGATGAGAATGTCCTGGTACCAATGGCCACAGAGAGCCATGCTGAAAAAATACAAGTTGTATAATGGTCACAAACTGAGAGGAAGACCACACAGATAATGGAACGATGGCATAAATAACAGCCTTGAGGAAATATAGACTAACTTTTGCACTTGAAAGAACAGGCAGAAGATCCTTACTCTCGCTTCCCCTCCCACTAACTTGATAAGTGATTGGAGGAAATGAAGAAAAAGAAAAAGAAGGTGGGAAAAAAACCTGATGATTAGCTTTAACAAGTCATTTCAATAACCAAACAGTAAGATTTTTTATAGAAAAGTGTGTATGTTGCATATACCCATATATACACACATAGAAAGCCCTGGGTGAAACTTGATCTTCTCGACAATTCACGGATCATCATACAAAAATTATGACTAAGAAAAATTAACCACGTTAAAATAGACAATTTTCTGTTAATCAGACCTTGTGAAGTTTAAGTTCTTTTTCCATTAGAAGATTAACATCTTCGATCTTTTTGGCTGCTCTGTCCAGCTCCTCCTGCTCCTTAACCTCGTCTGCAAATATCTCGCGCGCTTTTGATTTCTGACGGATTCCAAGATATCAATATTTTAAAACAAATTTAAACAAAATAAAACAAACAACATATCTACCTCAGTGTTTCTAGGTGGAATACAACTGTTGTGTGAGAAAAGAATGCTTAAACGGCTAACTGTAAGACGAGTCTAAGCGCCTAATTTAAAAAAAAAAAAAAAAAAAGTCCCTATCCATGGGCTACTGCTCACGTGTATATACAGAAACACATTCTGTTATGTTTGGTCTGAGCATATAACAGAAATCTGGCTATCAGGTTATCAGCCGGGGTTTCCAGCTTCATCACATGATATAAAATGCCCTTCACCGTCCCATGTGAAAATTAAAATGGACAGCAATATATATAATATTAACAGCTTGCCTCGCATAAGATGCATAAGGCAGCAGCCAGAGGTGTAAACTTTTATAGTCTGTCACTAGAATTGCTTTTTACAGTTAATGGAGGCAGCAGCCATGACAAACCAGCCAGTACACATGCTTTATTGCATAAGCCACACCTCCAATTTTGTGGCAGCTGGCCATTCACTGTTTTCTGAACATGCAGTTAACAACACACATGTCTGGAAACACAGACAGTAGGCATTCCCCATATAAATCACAATATCCCATGATGTACTCCACTGGCTCCACTTAGTAGCTGGCGACTTTTGGATTTTGTCTCACCACATTTGTTGTCCCATCCAGTTTCCCACTAGGGGGTTGAAACCCCAAACTTCCACTGGATTACTGGTGAGATAGAGTCCACCACCAGGTGAAGATGAGGTAGGCTTCAGTCAGAGAAGCTAAAAGATAAAAAATTTTTGTACTGCCCCACATCAGTGCTCCATTATGACCCTCTCTGGCTACTTATATTAACACAAATAAGCAAGATCTGTATAACAGATGTGTAATCAACAGTCATGAAACAAGACTGAAGTTCAGAGCTGAATGAACAACAAGGACTTTCCACTGGAATTCCTAGCTGGCAACTGCAGAAGAATAAGAATATTAACACGTCTCTTATCTTCAGCCTCATATCCCCTCTTGCAGCACAGGCTTTAAACAAACTCATTCCAAATTTTCCTACCCTTGAGGATCATGTACAGCTGACTCTATTGCTGCCTCATCTTTTCCACTTCAGTCTGTAATGATTTTTCCCCATGTGTTATTGGTCAGCTTTTTTTCTTTTTTGCCCTGTGGGTTCCAATGCAAAGACATTCTAGTTAATATTATTATTACATTTTCTTAGGGTGAGTCTTATCCAACACCAGAATCTCTTCCTCACCGTTTGATGTACTGGAAGTTGTTTAATTCGCTCCCAAAGCTCAACATTAGCGATTGTGTCTTTCTATTTAATTCCCTTAATTATACAAAGAAAATAGTTATTACAAGTTTATTAACAGACTGTTTATTAGCTGGCATTGGATAGGACACACACATATAGAAAACCCGAGAACAATATAACTACAATGTCTTTGCACTGGAACTCACAGGGACATAGAAATAAAGGTAAACAAAAAACAAACACACATGCAGGAAGGCAGCTAGAGAGTGAAGTTAAAAAGATGGGGAGGACATGGGGAGAGCTGCATGCAATAGCGATGGATAGAACGACTTGGTGTAAGTTGGTTGAAGGCCTATGCTCCATTGGGAGTGAGAAAACCAGAAGAAGAACAGACTGTTTATTAGTAGATTTAATTTATTAGCAGATTTTTTTTTAAAGTAGAGATTCCAGTTCTAACTATTGCCAGTGGAAGCTAAAGCCACCAAAGACATGTAACAACAAATTAATCAAATGCCTGAGGGAATTCACAGATAATAAACAAGATGAACTCAAGACACATGATGAAATCAGAACAAATTTATATGAGAAAAGACAAAGTAATATACCGGAAATATATAATGTGATGAAGCAAACAAAGAATCATAAAATAAGCACTGAAATGGGAATAAACGGAGTAAGGAAGTGAGAACATCCAAGAGAAACTCAGTAATGATAGCTGATCAGTGAGGTCAGAGGTACAGGAATAAACTCCATTCATGATACTGAAAAAAACTGCACATGATATAACATACTGGAACAATTGACCATGGACCTTATGTTATAGATAATGTGATGTCTCATTGTGTGACTTAACTCTGGAGCATATTTTCTTTTCACAAAGGCTCTCATCATCATCATCATGCGGCCTACCAACTGGCGTAAGCGCTTATGCGTCTCCACAGATCACGATCCCTGGTTGACTGGAACAGCTAGCTCTCTTGATGCTATCCCTCCATGTCATCGATTTAGCCCATCCAGCATTATCTCTCTTGGTCTTCCTCTACCCCTTTTTCCACTGATCTTTCCAGTTGTCACGATGTTCTCCAATGTCTTTCTTCTCATTATGTGGCCAGAGAGCAGTGTTTGTCTCTTTCTTATTGTTGTATATAGAGATCTACTTTCATTAGCCTCTTTCAATCAATCGTTGTTAGTTACTCTGGCCGTCCAAGGTATTCGTAACATTCGTCTCAGAAACCACATTGCATTGCCCTGCCAAATGGCGTAGGCGCTCATGCGTCTCCACAGATCACGATCCCTGGTTGACTGGAACAGCTCTCTTAATGATATCCCTCCATGTCATCGATTTAGCCTATCCAGCATTATCTTTCTTGGTCTGCCTCAACCCCATTGTCCACTGATCTTTCCAGTTGTCACGATGTTCTCCAATGTCTCTCTTCTCATTATGTGGCCAAAGAACAGTGTTTGTCTCTTTCTTATTGTTGTATATATAAATCTACTTTCATTAGCCTCTTTTAAGCAATCGTTGTTAGTTAATCTGGCCGTCCAAGGTATTCGAAACATTTATCTCACAAACCACATTTCTTTTGATTCCAAATTCATCTTAATTTGTTTAGTGACATTCCAAGATTCGATGATGATGATGATAGTAAATGTTACCTACCAAATAACCACTATGACATGGCCTATAATTTGTCCATAACAAATATATAACTTCACATCCCCAACACTAGTATTTTCCTTTTTAACATAAACGTATTTCATGGCTTAGAAGCTAGTAAATGCACTTAACAATTTCATGATCCGTGAGAATAAGGGTTTCTTCTTCTTCTTCTTCTGCATTCATTCAAAGATGTAATTGCATTGTGTCCGTTTACAGCATGGCTACGATATTTGCACCTTTCATCGGACTTTTGAGGGCATTTGTTGACAAGTTAGCCTTCCCGGGAATAAGGGTTTAATATCCACACTTAACTGTTATTTTTTAAACCGTTCTCAGGGGTTTCAGATAATGATATGAGAGTCACACTGTGGAAGATACTTGGGCCTCATGTAATATTCTCCAAAATAGAAGTGGGTGCACTTTGGCCAATTTTCACTGAGGAGATGGCGTATATTATTTTTTTTAAATATCTTACCAGTCGTGAATCCAATAGTTGGTAATCTAAAAATTCCAACTTGGGAAGGAAAGCTAGGAGATACCAGCGGAAATTTTCTTGAGCACAGACTGGGTTGATTCCAAAATTTAATGTTTTCAGCTTTGGGAACTGGCGCAAGTAGATAATCTGTGACAGTGTGGAAATAGCACACATCAACATAGCTGTTGTATCAAATAATGACTCCATTAATATCTTAACAGTCAGAAATAGTGTGCAACAACTTGAAAAATAATTGACTGTGCACTTCTTCTTTTTCTTCTCTGTTTGCCTTTAAAAGAGCAATTGACACTGTTCAGCCCCGCAAATCCCTAACCAGTTGCTTTGCTTTTTACGACTTACTCGTTGGGGGAAAGAGGGTCTATTCTTCTTACTCCTACAAAATGGGGCGGAGGAACCCACAAATGGATATTTAAAAAAGTGTACTTCTTCTTCTTTTCTCTACTTCTGGAATGCCTTGCGGCGTCATGGCTGGAAGAGATTTCTGGAACATGCCCCTCTGTTCCCTTCATAAAAAAGTACTTTTCTGTGTCTCTGATATTTCTGCGGTCCATGTTCTGTGTGGTTAACCTCTAGCTCTGTTACCATTGTATCTGTATAACATTGCTCTCTGTGGTGTCCTGTCTGCTGCCAGTCTTGTTGTTACATGGTCAACCCATTGAATTTGTTGTCTGCCTGTAAAGTTCAGTATTGGTGCTGTGCCGACTCTCCTCCTGGTATCAGGAAAAGATTTAAAGCAAAACGAAAAGTAGCTTAGCGAGCTTCACAATAAAACAAACAATATCATCCTGATATTATCATTCCAAATTTCTTGGTGCCTTAAAATTAATTTAAACACAAGAAATAGTTTTGTAAATATTTTTTACATATCTGGCATCTTTCATGCTTTGTTTTTAACTAGTAACAATTAAACACAACAATTAGTTTGTAAAGAATATTTACAATATATGGTATATTTGATGTCTTGGAATTAATTAATTTCTAATAAATAAACACAACAATTAACGTGAAAAATGTTCTCTGTTGCTACATCATTGGTGTCTTGAAAGTAATTTCTAACAACTAAACACAACGATGAACTTGCAAAGTTTTCTCACGTCTTTGGCATCTTTGATCTCATTATTTCCAATGGAAAAAATCTGCAGCTCTTTCTGAGCATCGAGATTCTCAATTTTGCTGATTCGATTGTGGTATAAAGTTAAATCTTTTAGCTTAGTCAGTGTGCTTAGGCCTTCAATGACCTCGATGTTGTTAAATGACAAATCTGAAATAACAAAACAGCACTAAGCAGAAAACTGTTTAATGTGTAATAAAGAAGAACTAACATCACAGAGGAAAAGTGTAACATGACAAACTGAAAGATATTGCATCAGGTGCTACAGATAAAAATATCTCATGTGAGAACGAGAGGGCCCCTACGGAAAATCTGGACTGATGAACTGAACCTAGGAGCAAGAGTAGAAGCCACAGCATCCAGTTTGATTGGTCAATATTTAAAAAGTGTTTTGCTCTGTTACCTTACACTGTTGGACAGGGCTGTTTCAGTAAATACAACAATTTGAGACAATGACCGACTGCATTTTATTTACTGTCAAATCTAACATTCTTGGTAGGCTACCAAGTCACTATTCTTTCCTTGTCTGATGGACTCCAGTAAGACATGGGCACTCGATGCTGAACCCACCACTCCCCGTGTGGGTTCTTGAATCCTATTTCAGGGGGAAAAAGGGGGGGGGGGGAAGACCAATTAGCTTCTAACAAGCATGCCATAAAGGTCTCTAACTAATAAGTTGTAAAAACAACACAGTGCCAACCACCTTGTTAAGGTCTAATGCAGGAAGAGAAGAAGAACCCACTACATCTTAGTCATGATGTTCACCGCATTGCCTATGGAGGCTATAAAAATATTGTGTTTGTATGTTATGGTCAATTCACCAATGGCGTGAACAATGTCTTTCACAATTTTTTTAAAAACTATCATACTTTGATCAAATAGGGGCTGCCATGGTGTAGCAGCTATACACATACCTCTGGATCGGAAGGTTGGGGGTTCGGTTGCTGGTGAAACTGGACTGTTTTAAAAATGCTCTTGACTCTCAGTTGACTCCTCCTGAAATTGCTTCCCAGGTACAGTCCTGGGATGTAAATGCGGCCAGCATGATGCTGACCACATTATCCAATGAGTGCTGTATGCCCAAAAGGCTCAGACATGGATAAGGGTCCTATACTTACTTACTCAATTATATTTTCATTGAACTGCTACAAGAAACAGGTAGGGAGAAACTTACCTAACCAAACAAGATTGACTAAACCTTCCAGTCCTTCAATTTTCTCTATAATGTTATTGTCAAGTTGCAGTTTGGTCAGTGATTTGAACTCCCACAGGTTATCAATTAGCAGAATATCTGTTTGAAAAAAAAAAGAGACAATCCACGGACAAAGTATCTGTGTAAAATGTGCTATAGTAGAAGACACACAACTATATCATCTACCGTGCAGCCAGAGTTTGTACATGGTGATGAGATTCTCCTTGAATAACAGATGGGAGTGAACCAGAGCACTTTTGGTTATATAAATGCACAATAGAAAATGATTCTTAATCAAATGGGTAAAGGTAGCCTCATAGCAGACAGAAGGCTGTGAATTAGACGACATCATCAGATGCCACACATCTGTCGTGTGAATGTATTGCTTAGGTATTTTAACAATAGCGAAATGGTGTGTGTGCGCGCGCGCGCGCGCACGCATGGACGCACGCATGCACGCACACACACACACATACACACACACACACACACACACATATATATATATATATATATATATATATATATATATATATATATATATATATATATATATATATATATATATATATATATATATATATATATAGATTCAAATTGAAGACTATAATGAAGACCCTAGAGAACATCAAGTTAAATTTAGGAATACTTAAAACTGATAAAGAAATTAAGGAACTGTACAAAGGCACTGTGCAAAACAAGTGTAACATCATGGAGATAGTGCAAACTACTGATGAACAATCAGATATCATGTGTGAGCTAATTGAGCAGACATCAAAAGAGACATACAATTGCAAAAAAGAAATGGATGACAAATTAAATTCTGCAGATGATGGGTGAAAGAAGAAAGAAAAAAGAATGATAAAGAGCTATATTCTAGGATACATAGACATTTTGAACAAATGCAGAGGTTAAAGAAACCTGGCTAAATCAGATATGCATAGAGACTGGGAAAAATCATAGGAAAGACTAATTTTCCATGTACCAACAGACAAGTATATTAACAGGGAGGAAAGGAAGTCATGAACAGCACTAAGTGTTCAAAATCAAAAGACGGTGAAATATTAATGGAGAAAATGGGCATGACAACATCACACTGGAAGAAACTGAAGCTTTGGGATATTTTGGAATTGAAATGATAACAAAATTTTTTAATGACATTTATAAAAGTGGGTACAATTCTAATGAATTATATACTTATTGCTTTGCCAAAGAAGCCAGGCTCTTAAAACTGTGAAGACCATCGCATAATAAGTTCTATAACTCATGACAACAATTTTTACTGACAATAATTATGAGAAGAATAAGAAACAAGATTGAATGAGAAATTAGGGAAGAACAGTGTGGATTTGTAGAAGGAAAAGGTACAAACAAGGGCTCTGTCAGAAAGAGCTATAGAAGTTAAAAATAAAAAAATAAAAAAGATTTTATTTATGCTTCGTGGACTATAAGAAAGCATTTGATTGTGTGAAGCATGAAGAAATAATTAAACTACAGGAAAAATTAAACATTGATGGAAAAGATCTACGAATAATAAAGAACATGTAATGGTAGCAAAAAGCAGCTATAAGAATTTACAACAATCTTGTAACATTCCCGGGCATAAAGAGGAAAGTACGAAAGGATGTGTACTATCACCTGAATTGTTTTCATTATACAGTGATTATATAATGCGATCTATCATGATATGTCAGGAATCGCGGTTAGTGGTTATAACATAAATAACCTACGTTATGCTGATGATACTGTCTTGATAGGGAAAAAACTACACACTGATAGATACGATGGTGGGAAAAAGTGATAAAAATGGGTCTTGGCTTGAATAATGGGAAGACAGTAGTAATGGTAAAAACCAAGAAAATGATAGTGTCTAAATGCATAATAAATGTAAAGGACGTTATTTTTAGAATAAGAACAGAAATTTAAATATCTAGGCTCATAGATAACATCCGACGGAAGATGTCGGATAAAGACGGAGATAAAGAACAGAACAGGACGGTTAAAACAGCATTTGATAAAATTAAGAACATTTTATGCAATAAATCCATGTCTTTCAAGGTTTGGAAAAGAATACTCATATGCTACATAGAGTCAGTTTTAACGTATGGCTGTGAATCCTAGACAATAAACAAGCCAAACAATATCTTGAGGTCTCTAAGATGTGGTTTTACGGAAGAATCCTTTCAATTTCTTGGACAGCCAAAAAGAGCAACCCAGATGTTTTGAAAGAGGTGATGGCTTGAAGACGACTTATCACAAACATCAGAAAGAGACAGTCATCATTTTTGGGTCATGTTATAAGAACACGGAACCTGGAACATGTTGTGACCACTGGAAAGATCTGTGGAAAGAGAGACAAAGAAAGACTGTGCGAGAAGATTCTTGACAGACTTTGGTCATGGCATGGAAGGTGTCAACAACCGAACTGACAGACTCAGTTGCAGATTGTGGAGTGGCATGATCTCCCACCGCAGTTGGCAAGACATTTGATGATGATGGTGATGTGTGTGTGCATGTCTGTCTGTCTGTCTGTCTGTCTGTCTGTATGTATGTATGTATGTATGTATGTATGTATGTATGTATGTATGTATGTATGTATGTATGTATGTATGTATGTATGTATGTATGTATGTATGTATGTATGTATGTATGTATGTATGTACATAGAAGAGTTAGGTGACTAACTATGTAGTTACTTCTAAAGTCCAGCCTAAGTGAAAGAACATTTTTAAATTTAATCCCTTCTCGCTTTGCAATTTTTTTAGCTTCATCTTGAGGTCCTTGTTGTTCAACTGCTTCATACAACATATCTGAATCTATGACTGAAGGTTCTACATTTTCATACAGTCGTTGCATGTTTCTGGAAAGAGAAAAAAAATAAAGACAAAACAGCATGTATTATATGAATTATACATACATTTAATAAACATATTTTGTAGAAAAAACACAATGTTTCTTTTATGAAAAGATTAAACTATAACATGATTAGCAAAATTAGACATAGAAAATTATAATTTTTCAAACATTTTGGGAGGACAAATGAACTTGAAAATTAAGCTCATTTGATAGAAAAAGTGCAAAGAGGACAAACAGACTTATATAAATATATATATAAATATTCAAAACAAGAATACAGACCTGTTTAGATATTGGTGATCAGGTGGTCACAACTATCCATACTTTTCAGAGGCACATGAGGATGATTTTCTTGTACAAGCTTCTATGTCTTTTAACTCTTCTAATACCAGGCAACTCACCTTATGTTCACTGAATACCCTTCTCAAGTTGTATACTTTTTCAGGTCTTCTGTCTTTTTCCCTTCTTCTTTCTTTTAGTTGGTCTTGTAGTACTTTATTTTTAACTCACCCCAAACAAAGGAAATCCAGAAGTTCATGGGAAAGTCCAATATTCTAGTGGTTAGGCTTAGGATCTTCACCAATTAACCCTAAACATAACTCTAACCCTAAGCCTAAACTTAACCCATTACACACCCCTAGAATACTGGACTTTCCCAGAAACTCCTGGATTTCCTTTGTTTGGACTAAATTTAAAATAATGTACCGCTCTTGTTCCTGAACTTGAGTTATGCGTGCACAACCATTTTACAGATCTGGCTTACAGATGCAGATATTGGTTCTTCGCCTGGCAGGCGGATGCATTCTGACTTCACCAGAAACATCCTTAATTAGTCACCTTGTACTGCATGATTCTTAGGGAAGCAGTGGGTCTTTTCTTTTCTTCCCTCAAATGGGACCCTGGACCCCACAAATGGGTTTCATTGACTTGTTATGTTAATCCACTATATCCTAATTATTTTTTTAACTGCTCCTGACACATAATTAATTGTATTACTTCAACTCAAGAAAATCCAAAGATTGTCAGTCTGAAGTACACAAACTGTGCTGACGTAAAGACTGTCTGGGAGCATAAAAGAGGTTATAGGTCATCCTCGAGCCATCTGGACCATCATGCTTCTTTACATCTTGCGATCTCCAACTACATTTATCGTTTGATGTGCTGACATCTCTAACACGCCATAATAAAAGTCTGTCAAGAAAAATTTATCTGTCCACGCCATTTTGAGCAAAATGTTAATACTGCATTAAAAAAAAAAAAAAACTTATGGTACTAAGTGTGGAAAGAATTCTATCCCCTGTCCCCTTCCAAGAAAAATACACCATCTTATAGAATCTGCTATCCATGTTTTGAAACTTTTACCATTTTCCTTGGAAAGAAATAGACACACACAAATCCAGCAAACAAATGAAATTAGTCACCAGAGGAAAAAGACACAGCTGTTTTCTCTAAATGCATTGAGTTGGAGTCTGCTGACAATGAAAAAATCTACAGCTTGTCAAAACAAGCCTGATATCTGCCAGTCTGTGTATGATCTGTTGAATCATGACATGGTTACATGCTATAAATATAATCCTCCTTTCTATTATTTAAAGAAAAAAATTCTGTTAATCACCATAAAGTATCTAAAACAAAGGTGCCAGTACTTGCCACAAAGTGTTTATTACAAATAGTGCTGGAAATAATTGTACAGAAAAAGGTTGCATACCACCAGAAAAGAAAAACAAAGCCCTGCTCTTTGCATTTGTGAGGTTCAAGTATCCATCTCAGGTGATTTATTTATATCCTACCCCAAACCAAAATCCACAGGTCACGGGAAAGTCTACTATTTCAGGGGGTGGTAGATAGACTGAGTGCAGTCGTGAGACCTAGGCTGCACTCTTTCATAAGACACAGGTGGGTTGGGGCTAGGGCCAGTTCTAGATCTTTTTGGGTCGTTAAAAGCATCAGAAAGCCAGGAAACCCAGTCTTACCACCATCTAAAATGCTGGACTATCCTGTGACGTCATCTGGGGTAGGATATTAATAAAGAACCCCATCTCACCGTCTGCTTGCTGATTTAAAGGCCTAAGGATGAAGAAATGAAGGAAAGGCCTGCGACAGAGTTTCTGTAGAGATGGTATTGTAGTACCAGTCGGACTCTGATAGTTGCCAGCTCTTCTTGGAGCTTAGGCGAACTATTTTCTGTTGCATGTTTTGTTAATATAATTACCTGCAAAATTATAAAATATCCTAGCTCAGAAAATTGCAATATGTAACTACAACAACAACAACAAAAAACTTATCACAATCAGAGTAAACATTTAACATATAGCAAGATGTGAACACTGAAACATTTCAGTTGATCAATTAATTTAAATACATATATAAAAGATGCAAACAGCTTGTCACTTGATTTACTAAACAAATAAGGACATGAGTTACAAATAATAGAAATGAACACCTCAGACTCACTGTCTAAATGATACAATAATCTAATGACAAAGTTCATTAAACAAATGAAGACAAGCATTAGGCTGCACAGTAACAGGCTCATCAGAGTCACATCTAAAATAAGTAAATAGCAAACATGACTGAACAAACGAAGACGACACAAAGTTAAATTGCACAGAAATGGGTGAATGGAGAATTGCATCACCTAGGATGGCTGTTTCAAGTACTGACATCCACACACAGACTATAGAGGAATGTGGATGCATATGAAGTGGAAATTACCATAATTTGGAAGAGGATTCTAACGGAGAACAACTGCTGAATCTTATGTGCAGAACATGACTTGATTATAAGTAAGACCTTTTATCAACATCGAAGAAGTCAGATATTAACATGGTATAGATGGAACAACTTAAGCATCATAGATTGATTTTATTTTGACAAGAAGGAGAGAGAGATGGAGAATACAAAAACTCCAGGGCCATCCTAAATACACTAATAGATTCAGACCATAGGCCAGTGGAACTTTTGCTTCATAAACCCTCCTTTCCACTCCGTAATTGCACTGCAGCCAGGGGACAGAACTCCGACTAACCGGCCGTCTACTGTTGTCTACCGACCGTAGTTGAAAGGAGAGCCAAGTATTGTTTTGTTGAAAGGGGTGCCTCAGGCTCACGTCTAAAAGATGCAAACAACTTGAAACAAAAGTTGACTAAACAACAAATGAAGACAAAAGTTATCACTGTATCAGTTACACTGTACATGCAAACAACTTGAAACAAAGTTGACCAAACAACAAATAAAGACAAGACATAGCCACGGGGACATAACTCCCACTAAGTCCCACTAAGCCGGCCGAAGCAGTCGACGCATTCCAGCTTACCGGCCAAATTTGCCAGTAGAGCCGAAATATATCATATGCATCAGACTCGTATAAAAAAAAGATGCAAGCAACTTGAAACAAAGTTGACTAAACAACAAATAAAGACAAGAGTTATCAGTTACACTGTAAAAAATTTATGCATCAGACTCACGTCTAAAAAATGTAAACAGCTTGAAACAAAGTTGGTTAACAAATGAAGACAACAGTTAAACTGTACAGAAATGAGCGCCTCAGACTTTATCTCCTAGGGAACGGACGCTTCCGCTCAGGGTTTTCACAAAAGAATGGAATCAAAAAAGTTACGGAGAACATTTCCGCTTTTAAATGTTGGGTTAGTCGGTTTGTATGCGCAAGATCATTTTGCATAGTGATGCTAAAAACTTTTAAATAAATTATGGAATGATACTTATCGCTGGATTAGTGCCTAAAGTTTTACGAGTCATAAATTTAAAAAAATCATTGCCAGTCTCAACGGTCAGACGGAGACATCATTCATTAATCCACATTCATCAGTCATTAAGTGACAGTCACTGACACTCAGTAACAAACATTCATTAACTAATTTATTTGATTCAATTAATGCAGTAATTAAAATAATTCCTTTCATATTAAAATTTGTATTTTGCATCGTTGTGTTTTCCTTCTCTTAAAAATTAGACTAAAGATAAGTAAAATTATTTTTAGAAGAGGATTGACATAATATAAATATAAACCAACAGAATCAATTCAGTTTCTAGTAATGTTTAAGTTAAAGGATTAGGATTTGCGTCACTTAAAACTAAAACAGTTATTTCCTAATTAATTAAATTATGTGTGAAATATTTACAGAATAAACTTGAAGTGCTTTGCATAACTTTTGGTTAATTCTATAGGATAGGAGAATGTCTGAGGAGAATAGCGCTGCGAGGAATTGCCAGGGTATCTGGCTGATACTCAACACTCGAGGGGAGGGCGAGACGGAAATACAATCAGACAGTTACTGGTGCTATCGGAAATGGAACTCTTTGTTTGCTGCTGAAGATGGGGATGGAGCGCTTATGGGACTGTGCAGAATGCTATGATGTTGATTCTTAATTCAAGATTCTGTGGGAAAATATTGGTAGATACCACGCCACACACATATTGGCTGCAAAGGAACCTTTGAGACAAGGGAACAACTGTAAATAACCATAGCTTAGTCTAGATTGCCTGACCTAATGAAGTGCAGTTAATTAATCTAATTGAAAACTCTTATGCAGTTGTAAAGGGAAAACACATTTTTTTATAATTGTTTCTACACTTTCTTCTTTGCATTTGGCTTTGAATGCTCAGATCAGACCATTAGGTGGGTTGCCTCTGTAAACTCGCATGTCAGCAGCAGGTTCTTCATCGTTTCCCATAGCTTGCTCTGCACACTTTGCTCTCGAGGGCAGGTTTCTTTTTGAAGTTGTAGGTAGAGCAGTCAGGTCTGCAGATTGTGCTCTGGTGTTTGTGGTTCTGTCTGACAAGCACACTGTGGGGACTGTACAATCTTTATTTTATGCATGTGGTAGTTGAGCCTGCAGTGTCCTGTTCATAGACGGAACATTGTATGTTGCTTTCTGTTAAGTTTACTGATGGGGTCTTGTGGATGTTTATACTGCTGGTTTGTTCTTTCCACGATTCCTTGTATTTGTCCTTGACTAGCGTTTTGATTTCTAGTGTT